TGTGAAGGCCAGCTTGACCGCCCAGGCTTCCAATGGGCCTTGTGAGGCCGACTCATTCCATGGCACACCCAGCCATTTGGCATCTTCTTCCAGCACCGGGATCTCCAGCGCCTCCAGGATTGTGAAGGTCTGACCCACGTTGCGGTCCACCGTGGCCAGGATGGCACCGATGCCCTGGGGTGAGGCGTCCGTCACGATGGCGTAGTCAGGCAGCGGCTCTTCCATTGGCTCTGCTCGCAAAGCCAAGGTCCTTGAACAAGGTCACGAACCAGCGCCTGGGAAGCTCTAGTCGCTTCACTGACACCAACCCAAATTTGGGTCTCTGATCTTTTCTTCTGGAAGCCCTCCTTCGTTCCTCATCTTCGTCCCGCTTGGTGTCGGCTATCACGGCATACATAATGCTGACAGCCCAGCGAGTTCTCGGAAGGATCCCGGCCGCCCATGACAGTCGTCCGGTCACTTGTTGCACTTCCTTCAAACTGACCGTCCCTTTGTTCTCCCACGCCTCCAGGGCACTTCGAATCTCGGTCATCATCTTCTTGGGCACCGTCAGCTTGATCTGCGCCTCCGTCATGGTCACCTCAAACATGACTCCGATCCATGACAGCTGGCTTCCTCGAGATCCTTTGTGCCATGCCAGGTTAATACCAGAGCTCTGGCCGTGTAGAGGAGGAGGGCAAGGTTCCGATTTCTCCTGAACGAGGGCCCCCGTAAGATCCACATCGGGTCGTCCACGTACAGCTGGCTCTGCATTTCGGAAGGAGCTATCAACGATTGCCACAATCTCGCCAGGCACGCAGCAAACCTTCCCATCAATAGAGGAGCCCCTCGAAAGCCAAACAACATGGCGACCCACATCAGGGTTTCAGTCTGATGAATGCCCGGGCTCAAGCAGTTCGCATGCTCTTCAGGATGCACAGGAAGATGACAGTACGCATCGCTCAGGTCTGCGGTGATCATCTCAAAGTCATAGATGCCACCGTCCGGCCGCTCGTCGTCCAACACCCACTCCTCATCCCTTGCCTTGATGGCCATGCGATCTCTTGTCTTCCATAGGTATCTGAAGCTGTCCACCACGTCGACCACCCTGGGCAGCACGGTTCTTTCTGGGACCCTGCAGCGTGCATTGCCCCCTGACCTCAACAGATCAATGATGATCCGCCTCTTCACACTGCCGTCGTCTTTCTCCTTCACCAGCAGCGCCAGCTTGGACACCGAGCCGTGCTTGCGCGTGGAGTTGGCCTTGTTCGTCGGGAGGACCACCGCAAAGCCCTCCTCCACAAGCTCTGCCCTGGCATGTTCCGGCTCATCCGTGAAGCTCTTATAATTTGCCATGCCCAGTTGTTCCGCCAACTATGCTCTGGGTCGTCGGCCATTGGGAAGATCCCGCAACATGGTATCTCCTTGTTCGTTCCCAATGGCACACCCCTCCTGATCCAGTCCACCAAATGCACCTCCGGGTCCAACGAAGCTTTGAGCCAAGCCTCCCACAGCTCCGGGTCCAATGGCGACTCGAACTCATACTTGTCCTTCAGCACGACGTCCGCGAACATCCTGGTCTGGAAGAATTGCTTGAGACATCCTTTCCAAGCCATCTCAACTTCCATGTTCGGTCGATTGCCCTCCGCGCCGTCGTAGTTCTTGGCCACGTCCAAAGCCTCCGGGTAGTCCCTCAGAAACCTGTCCCAGATTCTGGACACGTCCATGCCCACCTGCCGCACCTTCGACAACCTCTCAACTGCCCTACCAGGGTTCCTCATGCCCCCGATGTATCGTTCGTTCTCTTCCTCCCCGCCTTGCCTTCTTCGACACTCCCATCACCGGCCTGATGTCCTGCGTCGATTGGGTTTGCTCCCAAACCCGTTTCGAAGGGTCCGCCGTAGGTCTTCCTTCGGGAGGTCCCTGATAGATGCGCTCTTTGCTCTCAATCCACTTCTTCTTGAGCGCTGACACCTCCTGCTCCTTGGTCTTGAGCATATGCCTCCGGTACTCCAGCTGCATCATGTGCTTGAATGCCGTGATGATCAGCTTGGAGTACTCCTCGCACAATTGCCTGAGCCGCCGCAGCCGTTCGCCTGCCGCCCACCAACGGTTCGCGTCGTATCCACTGACCGCATGCGCAGGCTTTCTTCAACTTCTCAAGGTCCAGGAGCCGGCCAGCAAAGCGTCCTGGTTTGTACCACCTGACACGTTCCCCCCCCCTGAAATGAACAGGTGTTGCAATCCGCGACCTGGCCCTCAAACGCATCCATAACTGCTTTGATCTCCGGAAGTTCCCAAGCAGGTCCTTCTTCGCGTGTCTCTGTTCCAGGGGGGTTTTCAAGGGTTCCAGCCTGCGGTACCTTCCTCAACCTCTGGCTCTTCAGGATGGCCCCGATGACCTCCACCGACTTGTCGCCAACAACGTCCCCACGTCCGCCATCTGCTGCTCTTCCACCGAGTTCGAGGGGAGTCCATAGATGTGTTAAAGAGCAGCTAGTTGTGCATCTGTCGGTTCTTCTTCTTCTTGGGGAGGAGCACCCATTACTGCAATGTACCTTTGTGCCCACTCGTTCAACATCACTGCATCCGGCAACTTTGTCTCCGAGTCATCCGTCTGGTCCACGATGTTTGACATCTTCAGCGCATTCTCCTTGCTGCCACTGGCACTGCTGCTCGTCCCTGCGCCCCCCACTCGGTCCCCCGGAGCCTAACCCTGTACCATCAAGAGGTCCCGCAGTCACTTCTGGCGTCCAGGGGTCCTTGTCCACGAAGGCGTCTGCGTTTCCACCACCTTGTAGGTGTACTACCCACCGGGCATTGCGCCACACCAGTCCCACCTGAGCCGCTTGAATTGGCGTCAGCCGTTCTCCTGAAGCGAGGGTGGAGGTGCTAACGATTTGAGGTATAGTCCAGGCCGGCATGGCCGCCACAAGGCGGAGGTCATTCCCGGGGTCGCCGGCTGTCAACACGAAGGCATCCCACAAAGGGTCAGGTACTCCTAGATGATGCAACAAATCGGGCACCACGTGAACACCCTGGGCGTCAGCCACAGAAAGAAGTACCATGGCCTATTAGCGGCTCGCGCATGAAGAAAAGAAAAGGGGAGGTCTGTACCTCCAGAGGCTTGGGCCTCACACTTGAAGGTGAGTTGTTTCAATCCCACCCTCCCTCCAAGGAACTAGTTTCGCTTCTTTGTCCTTCAGCACCTATGGTGCTTCTACTAAAATGGTTCTTGAACGAAAACTTGGAAAATGGTCAACAAAGAAGGTGTAGGAAAGAAATGGAACAGAACGTGCTCGATCTCCCAGGTGTGAAGAAGCAACATGAAGCAACTAAGAAACCATGAGAAAACTGCAAACAAGACTTTAAGCAAGGAAACTCACCAGTTTGGAGTTGACCTTACTCACCTTCGGAAGAGACAACAGAGCGACTTGGGTAACAGTCCTTTGCTTTGGAACGGGATCAGAATGCACGAGACAAAGGATCAAAGGGGTCAAAAATGCATTAAAAGGCTTAGATCAGAGCCCGTCAGCTGTCCCGTCAGCCGTCCCTGTCGATTTCCAAGGTCCGGTTTCCACCGAGAAGCGCTTGCCATCAGCAAGTGCACCCAAAGTGCTTTTCGGCCATAAACTCCCAGGCCCTTCCTTCGCTAAGCCACCATAGGAGTCACGAACTTGCTCCTGGCAGTCGGGACATACCAAATGGGTACCAAATGATACCAAATGGACTAGACTATGGTGTATATCCACTGACTGATCCTGCAGAAGCTGTTCGTAGAAGCGAAGAACCTAATTGGATTGGACTTTCAACAAAAAGGCACCTTCCAAAGGGTGATCCAAGCCTCACATCCCTCCCGGAACCTACTGGTGGGCCCAAAACTGACATTCATTGGCCATCATAGTCGCGACATCTTGCTGAAAATGCTTGCTGGACCAACATACATGGCATACACATGGCATATTGTTCTCTTTCGATGCATCACGTGCAGATCGTGGCAAAGTCACACCCTAGTGTCGCTTCGACCTTCAGCCGTATCAATTGTGGTGGGAAGCCGCGAAAGCGAAGAGTCAGCACCTTGGGGTTCTTAGGCGTGCGGAATGCGGTCTCGAAACAACCAGTTGATTCAGATCAGAGAGTAAGGGCCTTAAGGGGCTTGCATAGTGTCTTTCGAAGTCACGCAAGAGTCTTGGCCCACAGGTTGATCCACTGCGGGTCGATACAGTAGGGATCCAAAAAGCGAACTGGCCATCACTACACTTTGCACAGTTTGCTACCGTTGGTTGGAGGCCAAGTCAACTGCACCATTACAGTCCCCTTTACCACTTTACTGTTGGTTACCTAGCTCTAGCCCGCCTAGCTACTTTCTTGAGCTTCTTCACGCCCCCACCCACAAAAAGGAACTACTTTCACTTTCCTAAGATTGGACATCTTGGCTCCCGACGCCTGAGAAGGCCACCAAATAGCTGCAAGGTTCGATGACACATGGCTGATAGGATTGGCAAATCTCCTCCAACTCAGTAGACATCCCACCCACCAAAAGCGACCCTGAAATCCATGATAACAGTATGCCAAAAGGCTTTCAAGATCTTTCAAGTATCTTCACCTGCTATAGGCACTGGGTGGCTCTCCAATATCTCCAAATCATATCATCATGTCATCCATATCTCTCAGCCCAGCTGCTTTGTGCAGCTTGAGCAAAACTGCCAAGGAGGCAACACTCGAGACAAGGCTTCCCCAGCTCAAATGGATTGTAGGAAGGGGCGCAGAGCTGTGTGAGTTTCTTGTTTGCATGGGTTTTCCTTGTGGCTGTATCCATGGCTTTGGATGTAGCGCTCAAACACGCGACTCGTCCTCAACCTTTGAGATGTTGCGATGTTTCACAGTTGGTTTCCTGCTCTCCAGATTTCTCTGGCGCTTGCGCATGGCATAAAGTCTACGAAGCTTGAGACCGAGACCAGCGGACGTGATAGTGTGGTCACTCAGTGGTCGTTTGTGAGTCTAGTGAGTCATCCCATTGCCTTGGTCGTGGCTTGGTGGAGGCCGGGACGGCTTCCATCTGAAGAGCCTCGACTGGAAACCGCCAGGCAAAGGTCTCTTGCAATTGTTACTAGTAGCTACTTGCGAAGAAGTAGTACGGGCAGGAGCCCGTAGTAGCGTCCTTGCTCCTGAATATTTTGAGCACGATGAGTTGTGAAAGTTGTGGGTCCCAGGAAACACCGTGGTACCGTATCTTCTCGAGGTTGCCAAGCTCTAGAGACACGCAATATGACGCAATCAATATGTGTCCTGCTCTCCTTGCAAGTACACATCTTGGGCTGATATTCTGATTGTGACAGTCCCAAATTCAGTGCTGGAATCCACCGGAGCTCCATCTCTGGCACTCTGTAACATCGGGTGAATCCACCATCACGACATATCACAACTGTATCAACTGAGACCGCTGAGACTTCCCGACCAACTCTCGCCGCCAGCCAGAGACTCGCGGTAGCATCTGCGAGGAGTCGCACCCAGTCGGACGAGTCGGACCAGTCGAATCCTACGGACCCTTTAGCTGGCCTTCTTGTCTGTAGCTAGAACCTAGTAGGTTGGAGGCCATCGCTACTAGGGTGGAGCCCATTACTAGATGTACTACTAGTAGTAGTAACAAGAAGCTACTACCTCCAGACCTGAGGCCCTGTTGCGTCCAAACCTTTAGGGAAATGTGGGCAGATTCAAAACCATTCTTGCCTTCTGTGCGAATGTCATGGGCGACACTTGGCACGTACACACTCTGCAAGGATTTGGGTCATGAGTCATGCACATCCCGGTTCTCAGAACTTTGCAACGTAAAATGTCTTCTCTTGGTTTGATATTGGACCTCCAAAAGCCACCCCTCTGTGTGCCTCTGGCTTGTAGAAACGTAAGGACCTGATCAATGACTCCATCTCCCAGATGTCCAAGGCTGCAAAGGACATCCAAAATCTTTGTCCACCATTGTCCACCGGAACGATCAACGAAAGCCTTTGTGCACAGTTCAGGCCCCATTCGGAATCTGTTGGTCGAAATTACAGCTCGAGAGCCGGTCTGAAATCAAACAAAGCCCGGCATCGCAATGCCTAAAACATTCGTTCACCGTTCACCATTCAAAGAGTGCTGTATCAGAAGTCAGAAGCAAACCATCCTTCATGCTTTTGGTCTCATTTGTCAAGTAGGTTCATGTGAACAAAAGTGAGAGGAGTCTTGAGCCCCTGCTGAAGTCGCATACAGTCTTGGAGCATCTGCAAGCCTTTAATAGATTCAGTCCCTCAGTGTCGAACCAGCTCGGCATTTCAGGGGGCCTTGGAAACGGAACATGCAAGTCAACTGTCCGCGACAGCAGCCCGACCGATTGCAGTCGTACATGTTACTCTTGTGACCTGGTGACCCGTCTGGAGAACAGTAGCCCCTAGTAGCTTCCTTGCTCCTAGTAGCGATGTCAGGAGCCCCTAGTAGCGTCCTTGCTCCTGGCCTGTATGAGAATGTCTTCGATCGAAGAACCATTATTCACTATATATGTCTAAAAACCGCAGCTTAAGGCATTGAGTTACCCTCATTTACATTCAACACCTGGGTTACTGTGCAACACCTGGGCAATGTCGTTGGAATGTCATCATCCGCTGTATTTTGACACTGTCTCTTGTCGGGAATGTGTGGGCTTGCAACTTTGGGTTTTGCCGGCAGCAGTTAATGCAGCTGCATTTGCTGGGCAAAAGGGCTTTCAACTGTGCCCAGTCTTCTACGGCTTGCAAGGGGCACGCCAGTGCACCCAAAGCCCTCAGAGTTTGAACCCATGCTGTGCACAGTCAATGGCTTGAATCTTGAATCTTGGAGCCCTCATTTTATCAGATTTGTATAATGTGTTGTTGCTCCCACTTCCATTATATGCCTCTCTGCTGCTTCGGCTGTTCCTCAATGTCGGTTTGTGTCTTCTTCTTCTGATCTGCGCTTGCTCATGCAAGGGCAGTACGTGCAATGGAAACCCAACCTGAAGTCCCTCGGCCTTTTGAGATCCCACACCGCTACTAGGAGCAAGAACGTTACTAGGGGCTCCTGGCATCGCTACTAGAAGCACGGACGCTACTAAGGGCTCCTGGCCTTACTACTAGGAGCAAGAATGCTACTAGGAGCTACATAACCACTATATCACCCCTTGAGTGCAAGCATACTGAAAAAAGATTGCTGCGAGTGTCTCGCGCATGTCGTATGAGTCATCAATTGTCACGTGTTCAAGTTCAGCGGTGCAAAAGACTTGTCTTGCTTGTAGTTGTTGTTCTGCAGCAAACTTCTTGCGAGATGTCCTAGCGATGCGGAAGACTTCTGGCGATCATCAGGCTGAGATGGCCACTTGTTTGTCCGCCGAAGGTACTTGACCTCAGATAAGATATGGAAGTCAGCACAACTTGCAGGCGATTCAGCACAAAATGGTACAAACAAATGTAAACAGTGCAAAGACTTGCTTGAGTCTGGCACGCCCCTCAATGAAACCGCATGCGCAAGTCCACACTATACACAGGCAGCTTAAATCAAACTGGATTGGAAAGAGTTGAAGGGGGAGCGCAAAATTAAAAAAGGCTTGAGTTTGCACACAAACCGTGCAAAATCAGTCCTTCTCTTGCTTTCCCTTCCAACCACATGGGATGTGAGCGGACGAGTGGCGCCCTGCCCCGGTGGCTTCGAACGTGGTGGAGGCTGCTCCACCACCCGGCGTTGCTGATCAGCCGATGCCCGGCGACTGCACAGTGATGCCATGGTGTTGGTCTCTAAGCGCGCGAACAAGCTGCTAGTAGTTCTTCGCTCCTAGTAGTAAGGCCAGGAGCCCCTAGTAGCTTCTTGTTGCAACCAGATTTGACCTTTCTTCCAGTCTTCCCTGTCACCAGTAGCTTCTCGCTACTAGTAGTACTGGCCTCCAACCTAATAGCGGTGGCCTCCAACCTAATGGCACTGGAGCCATATGATTTCATAGTCACGGTAAACCCATATTGGATCTTTCATATCAATGTGTCTCAACTGACTGACACCAACGAATAGACGTCCCCCACTTTCTCTCTCTCTCTCTCTCTCTCTCTCGCTGTCACTCCACTCGCTCAGTAAGGTACAAACAAACAAACAAACAAACCAACAAACAAACAAAGTGAATCCTGCACTTCCAGTATGTTTCAGCTGTAGCCCTGGTTCCAGTTGCGAAACGTATGGAACGGGTGATGCCTCGGGTTTTTGGACTCGTTCAACCAAGTCTTTCACTGTGAGGTTTGCCTGTACAGCTCGAAGGCCACAGTGCTGGTCGAGGATGCTTCACCTATTCCGCAGAGTTCTCCGATATCGGTCGGGATCGCTGTTGGCGTCGACTAATCGACGTGAACTGGACAAGGGACACAATGCGGTAAGGGCACTGCTATCTGTTTTGACCGACCCCTATCTCGCCTAGAATCCGAGACTAGTTTAGTAGCTGGTCACAAGGTATCTCGTCTTGTGACGGGCCCCATCTTGTCCACAAGCGAATACCGACGTTGGACAAACACGTAGTATAAATAGTGCATGCCCTACACTGCTTTACTGAAGCGCAAATAACGGTGCTTGCTCGTCAAGAGAACAAGAGGACCCTTGTCCTACTTATGGAATCGTAGACTCGGGACCTTTAGCGGAGTTGTTTCGATTTCAAGTCCAGCACTGTCTGAATCCGATCCGTTGCATGAAAACATCTTTGACATGCGCAATAGGCCTCCTGCATCTGTGTCCAACACGGTCCGTCACGTTCTACAAAGATCTGCAATGTAATATACGTATGTTTTTGTACATTTCAACCCCAAGCCTGCAAGTCATTCCTACCACCCCACACTCGCCTGCGATAGGATCGTCCTCTGATGCCTGGACAAACTTGTCAATCTGCAGATTGAAATTCCCACTCAGGAAATCTAGCTGTAAGAACTTGAAGGACCAGCACACAAAAAATAGAGAATTTAGAGAGCAATAGGAAAAGGAAGAAGTCCTAGTCCTAGGCCGACAGTCCCAAAGTCCTCCTCGTTTCGCGACATCAACAACTGAATCACGCGTCGCACGTGGCCTTCAAGCCGAAGAAGATGGACTCTGCCTCCACAAGATGAGGAAGTACTGATTGACCCAAGGTAAGGCCCCATGGACAGCTTCTTGTTACTGGTAGCGATGGCCTCCAACCTACTTGCGATGGCCTCCACCTAGTAGCGTCCTTGCTCCTTCTTTGTTATCTCTATTTCATTCTTTTTCATATCTTTATCTCTTCATTTATGTTTGGAGGTCAAACACGTCCAGCCCATGTCTCCTCCAACCTGAGTGCCCTTTCAAACTGAGAGTGGCATCTTTTGCGGGCGAAGCTCAACTTGGACTCAGCTGGGGAAGTCTTTATGAAGCGGCCAAAAACTAGGCACTGTCTAAAGATGTAGCGACGCGGCCTCAAACAACGCCTGTCGCTTTCAGTTTACAGGCTGTCCTGTGTCTGAGACATCGACTGCTGTGTCGAACAAAACTGCTTTCAGAAGGGCCCTGCTGGCAGTCAGAATGAACGAATGTTTCCATGCGCGGATGTCTCAGCTCGCGGCAGAGATTTTCCTGCCTGCGCCTATTTTACAAACCTGGTCCCAAAAGAGGTCAACCAGTCCTTTCAATCTGCGCTTCCTCCAGCCCTTTCAGCCGAAGATGCCGGATTGACCCCTCCTTTGGCAGCATAAGGAGCTGCGAGAGGCAAGTGGTTCCGGCTGAGGCACCCAGAGCCTCTTTGACCCGGGTGTTCAGTCCTGTTTAAGCAGTTCTGCAGTGCAAAGTCCCGCCCGCAGGGACGAGGTTATGCGATTTTTTGGTTTTAAAATCAGTCCTGTCACTCGTGTGCTCAGACAGCAACATAACAAAGAGCTGGCTCAGCTTCTGCAACAGCTACGAGTACCATCATCCTTTACTTTGTGTGGCAGCACCAAACGAGCCGAACGAGGACACTATCTCCAACCTGTGTCTTCCAAGTGACGTTGCCAGCAAGGTCTGCGCTAAAGCAAGAGAACCAGCATCTTTGGGGAAATATTACTTGGCGCCCCGACACATTATTCATGATTCGACGAGCAAGTCAACCATGGACCGTAGAGGGTGCAAAGGCGGAGTAATTAGATCGTTGTTTTTTGCTTTCTGCAATTCCTTTCGCATAGGGATGGTGGGGGAAAGCCCCAGTCGCTTTTGGTCTAGTCTATTCATATCTAGTCTAGTCTAGTCTAAGTACTTGACTGCTGAAGTTTCGCAAGCATCCAGCTCTGGCTTTGCTGACCCCAGATTTCATCTCCAAGCAAGGGGCTGCATGGAAAAAAGAATTTGGCACTTCAGAAATCCTATAACCTGAGCAGATAGCTTGCAATACTTCCAACTAGGACGCAATGCCGGCAACGTCCAGGAGGCTTCCAGTTTCAAAAACCTGGAAGGTCAACAATCAAACCTGCACACACTATCCAAGAAGCACCAACTAAGCGATGGTCACAGAGATGCTATGACTGAAACTGAATATCTCACGTTTAGGAATGGGGCCTCTCTGGCTGCATGACACCATACAATCGGATGGCAGGGATCCCAGGGCACACTTTTGAACTAGCCGCAGAAATGTATCATGCGAACAAAAAGCAATCCGATTTGATCCATTTAGATACTGTATATAATTGGGGAATCACTAGTTTCCATTGATTACCATTCACAGGCAAAGGTTCAGGGCACCAGTTGGTCAGACCTGCCCATGTTATTTCATACAGTATTTGCTTTAGGCCATTGCTTCAAAGGCCACTTATCTTGCTGACCAAACGTTTAAACTGACAGTGTTCAAGTCAACCATTGTTTTGTGAAAATACATACTCTGTGCATTTGTTTGTGCTCTTTAGAGCCCATCAAAGCGCAAACAACACAAGTATGGGCTTTACGATGCCTTACATGGCTTTAACAACGGTGCTGTGCATCTTGCTATCGCCACCCTGTTCGTGCTCGTGGCGGTCTTGCCTGGACAGAGCTTCGGACGCAGCCAAAGCTGCTTCTTTCCATGGGCAGAAAAAGGAAAAGACAGTCAGAGTCAACTCCACTCAAACATGTTGAGTCTGGAAACACAGTCTTTAGGCACCTTGACACTGGCTCCACAGCGAGGACAATGAGTTTGGCCTCTGTGTAGACGAGTCCGGCAATGAATGCCTCATGCGAGGAAGAACAAAACCCGGGTGCGAAGCCTGTCCTGAACCTCCCTCGGTGAGTCGCATTGGAAAAGGACGAGGCCGCATGGGTTTTTACACCAGTGCATGCCCTGCGAAGAGCATGGTTGAGGCCTGGCTGTCAGATCTTTGTTGGGTGGCGATGCTGATTAACTGTGATCGTTCATAGCCCACTTCCATATGAACTTTGAGCTCCTTTTAAGAGCTTCCACGTTGAATCAGAGATGTTCCACATTGAAATGTGGGTGCCAGCGTAACAGTTGAGACTCGAAGCACAGAAGACTTGACTGTCGGCCCTTGTTCATTCTATACGCTAGGAAGACCTTGGATCCCAAGCCCTCAAAAATTCTCAAAGTCCATTACACTGTTGGGGAATGGGCCACCTTTATTTCTTGTTTGCGGTGATGTGTTTGTTAGCTCTCCTATCCCCAGCACAATACACAATAGTGTCCCGTAGTCAGCGGGTCCCGGACTCTGGTTGTGCGCGGAGCGCTCGACAACTTGGATCATCTTGGATTCCCTACAAGCTGACTCTCCATGTGCTTCGAAGTCGGCCTCAAGAACAGGAAGAGAATCACCACGAACGAGCACGTAAGGCTTTGAGACCAGAAGATGATCACAAAAGAACACTAATCGCCGCTTTGGCAAGCAAGATGTGCACAAATCGAACCTCGCTCTAGCGAGGGTTGACTGTACTATACTGTACCACTTGCAGTCTTCAAGCAGTTCTCCAGAGCCAAGTTTCCACTACAATGGGAGGCTGGCCCTAAGCCTGAGCCTCGGCCTCTAGAGTCCCTCCCTATTCACAAAGGTTGGTCTTCCACACCGACCTACAGCTATCGTCTCCGAAATCTGTGAAGGGCTAAGTGCCATGGAGTGTCGATCGTTGCGATCTGAGAAAAAAAACGGGGTATGTGCTCCATTCTAAGTGGTCGCGGCCTGTGGCAGGTGAGTTCGAGGCTTTGCTGCCTCAACGCTGGAGTTGCGATGAATCCTTGTGTTGGAACATGCTGTGACAAAGAATCAGCACAAATATGCACAAGCTATTAGGGTAGGAGCATGAAATCAATGTGCAAATGTTGCCAAAGGCCCGAAGGCAAAAGAACAACGGAACCCTTGATGATAATTGCGGAACTCTCTGTTTGTCGGATTTGGGGGGCAACACATTGTCTGATCAATGAGCATGGGCCTCCAAACCCATGTTTGGCCCCAAATGGAGTTCAAGGTGGCCCAGCATGTCTGACGTTCTGAAAAGGGGTAAGCCGTAGACTTCCAAACTGCCTCATGCACCTCATGCTCACCGAAGTCCAGGTATAAATCACCATGGCAACTGCGGGCATTTGAGAGCCACACCACTTGACGCAGGAAGAGTGGGTCATATTCTGGGTCCTGGCTGAGCTGGAGGGATGGAGAAGAGGAGAGAGGCGGCCGAGTTGCTTATCTAGGATACTGCTACTACTACTACTACTACTAGCCATAAATATATTTGAGCAAGGCTGTTCAAAAAAGAGTCGTTCTGAAAAGTGTCCGTCTTGAATACCTCAATCATAACCTGGCAGACTGCCCGAGCAGACCTGATTTCAACGCTCCGGTCGCCTGGTTGCTGAGGTGCCCGAACTCACCGTGGAGCGCCTTCAAGCCTGAAGTCGCTGAAGCCCAACACAGATTGCAATGTTGGGAGTTTCAACTTAAGCCGCAGTGGTTGCAACACATGATACAGGCCAGGACTCCACTCACGAAGTCCTATGACCATATAATGTTGGAAAGAGCGATCGGTTCAGATTCCAAAAGAGTGTCCCTCCAAGAGATCGGCCCAAAGAAGCCTCACCCTGCCTTGTATGTTGGGAACTTCGCACACGGAGAGGCTCTTGCCTGTCAAGCGCTTCTGTTGACACTCCAAAGCACCAGAAGCTGCAAGGAAGAGCTGTGTAGCTTGTAAGACAATAACTCAAAACCATTGTGTATATATATATATATACACACACACGTGTAACCATTTATGATTGCTGTTAGTATGTTAGAATCATATTTGGATAGTAGGTGGTAGGCTCTCTAAAGTGCAGTCTGTCTTCTCAGGCAAGGGTGCTTGTACTTAGTACAGTCATTGTCAAGCAGATTTCACTCTTGAAGCGTCTTCAGGCCATATTTGCCTCTCGGCCAGGAGCCCTTTCTTAACACTGCAACAAGAATTTGATGAAGTGTAGAATTCAAAGCCAGCGTGCAACTGGGCTCTCTTGTAGCTAAAGCATTCTTGTCGCCACAAAGAAAGCTTTGTTAAAGGAATGTGAACTTCAAGACGAAATAGCATCGCCGCAAATTAAGAGGGGGGGACGTCCAAAAATGTAACTTACATTTTCCTATGTTTTCGGACCTCAAAAATGTAAGCTTACATTTTTTTTGGACCTCAAAAATGTAAGCTTACATTTTTGAGGTCCCCCTGAATTTTACTAAAAATCCAGGGGGACCTCAAAAATGTAAGCTTACATGTTTCCTTCGTCATAGGAAAAATGTAAAAAACCAATCTGACGTATGTCGAAGTATGCAAACAGCCTGCAAACGACATGCCAAACATTCTCAGAGCTTCTTTTCCTCTCTGCTTCTGGTTTGTGCATTGCATCAAGCCGTATTTTACAGCAAGCTTTTCACCTGCCCCGTCCATAGCTTACATGTTTCATTTGGGTTTCACCGTTTACCTTCCAGACATTCTTGGCCTATTGTTCTAGCTTTCACTCGCCACCAAGCTATGATCTACTACGCAGCTGTGCACTCCCCAGCGTCTTTAGATGTTTTTAGATTACCTTACATTGACATTCATGGTATTTTACAGCAAGCTTTTCACCTGCCCCTTCCATAGCTTACATTTTTCATTTGGGTTTCAACGTTTACCTTCCAGGCTTTCTTGGCCTAGTGATTTGCTTGGTCCTAGCTTTCACTCGCTACCAAGCTATGATCTACTACGCAGCTGTGCAGCTATGAAATAGCACCATCTATTTGATGCATGGAGCCAAAGCAAAAGAGACATTTGACCCAAATGAGCGACCCAAATGAGCCCCCCGGCTGCTGGCGGGTGCTGACGTCAAAAAGTTCCCATAGAACTCCTGGGGGGTCCGACAGTCGATACCAGGAAAAGATGGGAAGATGATGGCCGATAGACACTGATGTGTATGTGAAAGTTCCCTATATTCCTTGAAGGCATGGTCAGTGTTGTGGGACCCCCAAGAGTCCCAGTGATAGAGCTCTCATCTGCTGACAGGGTTTCGGGACGTTTAAGCCCATCATGAAATCACTCCCCACACGCCCTTCGGTCGGCTCCAAGAAGAAGTCTTGAGCATCACGACCATCCACGAAGCTCAGAATGCAATATCCTGACAGAATGCACGAGGAGCCTGATATTTCTTGAGGTATTCAATAATTGGTCCCTTTTGAAAGCTGAAGCTTTTGTATTGCTCCCCTGCTAGCCAGCAAGCCATAGCTTTCCGCAAACTTCCAGAATTCATATCCCACCGGCTACAGTGTCTTCCCCCCAACATCCAAGACTCCAGCCTTCGTTCTTGCCTTCCTTCTTGCTCCAGGGCAAGTAAAGGAAGTCCTTGACCACCAGATGCCGATCAACTACCAACAGATGAACCTGCTACAGTTTTCTTTCTTGCTTATTGATGTGAATCACTATGATATAATATAATCATGATAATAACATCACAATATATACATACAATTATATATATATACATATTACAATACAGTTTTGCACCTGCCAGTTGACTCCCACCAAACCTCTTGCAACATTTGTCAAACCTTTCTGGGGTCGAAAAAAATGTCTTGTGCTGTGGCTTCCCCACGAGTTTTCCCTCGAAGCCACGGGTCTTCACCTGTAGGTGAGCTGCGAGCAGCTCGCTGGACATTTCTGAACAGGAAATCCTTTGCTAGGAACCCCATTGTGAGGCCTCATGACAAGATTTGCTGGAAGAGCTATGGATAGGATAAGAACTGCAGATTAGGAATCTCCGCGTTCCTTCCAATTCAATTTCCGCTTGCCTCTCCAGCCAAACACCATAATACTCGGGTACCGGATCCTTATGGGGGACGAAGGCAAAAAGGAAAGGGCACCCACCTGACTCCAACAGGAGCTCTCCCCAAAGTTGCTTGCCAAACAGGAGGTGTTGGATTACAGTCTTCCTTTGTCACACTGACTGCCACTACATTCCCTGTCCTTCCAGTTCAGTTTAACCTATGACTAGAGAGGTCATATAGTCAAGTCAAACACCACAAGTACTGGAAAGCCTGGCAGGTGAGTCCATCTCAAAGCAAGCATTGTCGAGCAGTTCTTCTTTTCTGGAACCAAGCAGGGAGAAAGAGAAAAAAAACAAAAGTCCATTCATGTGTCTTAAGAGCTTTTGTACGCAGTCTCCAGCACCACACCTCATCAAGGAGCTCCAGCTGCCTCACAGAGGGTGGGATGTTCTTGAGGAACAAGGTCACCACCTAAGCAGAGTCAGCACAGCCCTGTGTCTGGCTACAAGCGCCTGTGTCCAATGGATTTACTTTAACATGACTGTGGGAATGGGTCAAACCACTGGCATCGATTTTGGTCCGCACTCTTGTTCATCTTGCTCTGTCTTTTGTTTCATAAGATTGTCACCAGTGATCAGCAGCAGGTACTGCATTCTGTGTGGTCTGCTTTTTACCTACATTGACTGCTGATCACGAAGCATAGCCTGCAAAACAGTTTGAGAGGCTCTAACCTTTCTGGAATCACATGTGGGTGGACAAACTTCCAAGCTAATGCTTCTCGATTTAGAGGATCCAGCGTGACTGATCCAAAGCGCATGGCCCATGAAGGGGTGCCTAGCACTGGTAAGGCTGCAAGGTGTTGCTTAAGGCCTGAAGTTTCCCAACACAGGGAAAATCAATGCGGATTCGAAGAGCCATAGCATGCCATAGCATAGATTCTATAAAAAGGGTTCCAGGCCCTAAGGTGTGCACGAATCATCTGTACATGTCGGTCTGGAATGTGGAAGCATTGGCGAAGGAGGAAGCGCGACGACGGGAGCATACCCATGGGGCTCCTGTTTCAAAGATTGACCAATTGATCTTGAACTGTCAAGTCCAGAGGCCCAAGGGGTGAAGACCCTCGTCCTGCATTGTGCAGGGAAAATGCGCTTCTCTGAGCCAAGTCATTCTGTACTTGAAACCCATGTGCAAAGATGTGCAAAGTGGGAAGACCATCGTCTTCTTTGACTCTGATCACTGATCATGGAAGTCAAGCTTCTAAAGCTGCACTTTCTCGCACATGGATGTCAAATCGGTCTGTGGGAGAATTGGCTTTGCGGCCACTTTACGGCATCGGCTCTCGATTCTCTCGATTCTCACCGGCAGGACAGTCAAGGAGTGGCATCTCAGCCCAACTGCTTCGAAAAGGCCAAACTCATTGTATGCAAATGTATGCAAGAAGGATAAGGGGGCATAACTCGTCATATATAGAACTCTTATCGACTCAAACATCTCATGAAGTTTCTCGACCTTCGCAGTTGAAAGTTCTCGGTTGGCTCCATCGCCCCGGGGTTGGCCCGTTGGCCCTCCGAATGGCGCTGTGGAGCTCTATAAAGCTTGTCGAGCTGGACATAGCTGAACAAAATCCAACACATCTCCGGCGCTGTGGCAGGGCCATAAAGGACCATAAACCCCTCGTGGTCTTGGTGCATAACCTGACAAATATCGACATGATGTAACATCTGATGTATCCGATGCACCCTCACGAAACTTCACTTCTGGTGCAAAATAATCTTAAAATCTTGGTTGGAGCTACGTAGTGCCTCCATCTACGTAATTATCTGTATCTACTTGCATATGCCGATTGACCAAGGCTCCAGTTTCAGAAGATTCGTCGCCAGCACGAAGGACGGCAAGTCATGCTTGTCAGGTCAAGCCAGGCCCCATCTTCAGGATCTTTTTCCGAGACTTGTATGCAAGGGATCGGGTAACAAACACGTCACTATAGCTACAAAAAGTCAATAAATGAGTTGAAGCTTCCTGTCAAGTGTCACATCCCAAGCCTGCAACCGTAGGGATTGGAAGCATCATGAACAAAAACAACTAAGTGGAGTTTCTCGTTTTTCTGACAGGGTCTGGGCGCTTGACCTGGGCCGGAGATCTGCTAGCTATAGACTTCAGAATGGGTAACTGGCAGCCACATTGACAGTGTTGAGACTTGGTTGAAAATGTTCTGGTCAGGCTTCTCAATAGTGGCAGCTTCGAAGAGAACAGAAGGAGACGGCTTTAATCAAAGGTTCTTAATCAAAGGCTGACACAAAGCCATGTGAGCCTCGTGTGACCATGTGGTTTGAAAGCATGCAAAAAGAATTGCAGAAGCTCGTGTTGGTGCAAAACTGTGGCTGTCTCGTCTGTAGTAGTTAAACCCCCCAATGCCGACAACAAAAGCAGCATTGGATCATTCTAAAGCTCGGCTGGTCCGTTAACGTGATTGATCCGGACGTCTATCCGACGGTCAGATCAACCAGCAAAAGTTGCGATTCAAATGCTTCTCAAGCCATTCTCCTGCGACAGCAGAATCTGGTCACATCGACGTTCAAACACCCACAAAATACGCTCCAAAGGCTATAGATCTACTATATTACTCTTATATTTCACTGGGAATCTTCCTGATGAAAGCTTGATGAGATACTCATGAAAAAATAAGGCAAGACACATCCACATGCTCCAGACCAGTAGGCATCTAGGCTCAGCTGAAAGAATTCAAACGGTACGGCCACCTTTGTGGGCACATCCATGTGTGTGTGTGTGTTGCATGTGCCTTGCAGAAGTTGCACAAGTCATTACAATCGGTTCAGTGTTAAGATTTCTCAAGAACCCGTTTCCCGTTGCTCAAATATCAAATGGGTTTGTCCTTTAGTAGGAGGACCTCCCAACCAGTGGATGTTTGATTTTCCCAGAGGTCTTTGAGGGGTCTCACTAATACACACCCAAATCTTTGCAAAGCTCTTATTATATACAAATGTGTGGAGCTGTGGGCGACTTTGCCAAGGCTTTCTTTCTTTAAGAACAGTCAGCACCAAATTGCCTATCCCCGGCGAGAATAGACTAAGGGTACGGTATGAATGTAATTCTGATTCCGGTACAAACCTGAAGCAAGTTAACCTTTGACGTCGTGCGGCCTGCATCATCTTGACAGCTTCACGCAAAGGCAGCACTTTAATCCTCGGGCATTACGAGATGAACTCCAGCACTAGGCCAGGCAACAACAGAATGTCTCACTCATGTTGCAGGGGCAACTCTCTAGATCTCCAAAAATCTCACAAGAGGAAGACTACCCAGCACTGTGTCTTTGGCGCCAGTGGTTCAAGAATGTCTTCACTGGACTGCACTACAAAGGCCAGAACCAGGACCAAAGCTGAAAATTCCAATGGGTTGCGAGGACACCGGCGCATGCATATATACAGTGTGTGTATATCTTTATACAGTATATCTTTTGTGTGTGTGCACTCATTTCCGGCCATCAGGACATGAATATCACCGTTGATAGTTTGAAGAATCACAAAGCCTGGGTTGCCCACAGGGTATGCCCGGCACATGTCTGACAATCTATAATTGGCGGCACCTGTACGTACGAGTACTGCTGTGAATATCAAGCAATTGTAGTGAAGTAACGTCCACCCCATATCACCCAACCCTCCAAGCAATGCACTTGCATTGCAGCAGTAAGGTGGCAAGATATATTGACTTTGCGAGAGCCAGGTAGCTGGCTCGTGAGGAGCATCAGTACCTCCTGCACAGGTCGAGATTTATGGGCTTGGATTTAACACTAGCATGTAATGATGCGAGAAAATGAAGAAAAAACTGCCATGCTGGTGGCATCGGATATGGTACTACATGTACTACACTACAAGGTACTGTCGTCTTTTTCCTGCTGGACTCTGGCGATGGGAAATCCCCATAATAAATCAATGCATAATCTGAAGCCTTGATATTGCGGATCGAAGGGAGACATCTTCCTGTCAAAAGGGTCTGTAGCATACAACAAAGGAATTCAAGAAGCTCGCAAACACCAGGACCTGCAAAAACCTGCAAAGTCCAGCTGTACTGAAAGCTGTCGGAAAAATCTATCTTTTGGAATTTGTTTCTCGGCTTCTCGAGCCGCCACCTTGTTACTAGTAGTTTCTTGCTACTAGCAGTAATGGCCTCCAACCTACTAGCGATGGCCTCCAACCTAATGATTCTTGCTACTAGTTTAATGTCCTTGTTGCTAGTAGCTTCTTTGTACCATCATGCACCATGACCTCTCCTCATGGCTGCCAAGGCTGTCTTCTTCCAGTGCAATCTCCTCTGCCGTGCGACCCTGGGAGGTCTTCTGCTGCGGGTCTGCCCCTGCTGCCAAGAGCAGGCGCACAATCTCGCAATCCTGTGCGCCAAGAACCAAATATTTGGATTCCGACAGCACGCTGACCACACCGTCTCCTCTCATGACAAAACCAGTGCAAAAAGGGGTATGTACCAGTCAATGGTGATTGTATTGCTGTACATGGCAGCTAAGTTCTTAACAGCAAAAACAGAAATTATATACTATACATAGAACCCCAGCAAAGCAAAGTGCCATACAAGGAAGCACGTTTGGGGAGTTCCAGGTAACTCGCATATTCTACAGATCAAAGGGTCCAAATCAAATGCTCACAACTGCCAAGTTGGGCCGAGGAACACCAAGCTTGGCTGCCTGGTGGAGGGGATAGAAGACTTCTTTGGGCTTGCCGAACGGCAAACAGAGTGCTCGGGAACTGCGAGGCTCATTCACATCCTTGAAGGCTGGTTCGAGCAGCGGAATGGTGAGGCTTTCCTGATCCTTGCCTTTAAAATCAGAAACAATTAGAAACTAATGTGTATGAATCATATGAGTATATATATATATATATTCGGCTGCATCAGTTACACTTGACTTGATGTGTGACGAGTCGGACTCGGTTCATTTCTCTTTCGCGCGAACTTCAAAAGTCTTGTTCGAAAGTGCTTTGGTTAATGTGACCCTGTCACAGCAGCCCACGCTGCGCGCACCCCTGGCGCATACCTCTGCCAGGTATTCGTTCCCTACCTGTACCTGGTAGACTCCTCAAAATAGTCAAGAGGATACTGAATATGTCAGTCCTATGACTATGTTGGAGTGGGATGAAAAACAGAAACAATGCAGTAACCTAAGAGTCAACACTCGTATACTGCCAATACAGTGACCTACAATTGCTCCGCAATGTCACTGAAGAAAATGGTATCTGGACTCACGACCGGAGTATTTTGCCTGGCCGACTGCTGCAAAGGTTGTGGCTTTTCTGCCGACAGCAGCCACTAAAACAGTCAAATCGGTAACGAGAAAAATAAAATGGACACCATGGTAACCCGCAGTCCATTAGCTCATTGCCAGAGCAATTGGCCAGGCCGACAGCTGCAATTCATCTGGCTTGTGGCAGACTGCGCCAGGGTGACGATCAGTCACATCAGACAGAAAAATAAGGGACCGCATCCGTGGTACTCAGCTGACAGCGACCACGCGGGGCCACTGGGCTTCCGAACGATGAACTGAAAATTGTGCTAAAAAACGTGCCACTGGGAGCAGATTGAAGACAGTAGTGTCGAATCGAAGTAAACTGTGGACGCCTGCAGACTGCTGCCACCAACGAGGCCACTCCGTGGACGACATCACACAGGCCAAGGAAAACACTTGGATGCACCGCAACCATGGGAACTCAGGCCGACAGCTGCCACGAGCACCTGTAACCACTCGTACCGAGCACAGGGTGTGGTGGGTGGGACAAAAAGAATCTTGCGAATCAGCGACCCTGATTCACACGGAGCGACATTCCTTTTTGGCTTGAGCCTCAAGCTGAAAGGAGTGAGTGAACTGAATGACATCAAATAATTCCTCATCACCGACCCTGCCTATACCTTGAATGAATGAATATATTCGGCTGCATCAGTTACACTTGACTTGATGTGTGACGAGTCGGACTCGGTTCATTTCTTTTTCGCACGAACTTCAAAAGTCTTGTTCAAAAGTGCTTTGGTTAATGTGACCCTGTCACAGCAGCCCACGCTGCGCGCACCCCTGGTGCATACCTCTGCCAGGTATTCGTTCCCAATGCATTCTAACATACCCAAAGCACTCAGAAGAACTAGAACACACGATTTATAATGACATATGGTCGGCGGAGTAGGAGGTGAGGTACTGGAACGCGATGTACACGGAAGCCGTGAGCCTGATACCATTTATCGTGAATCCCTTGCCTGCTAATACCATCAGACCAATTGTCTGCGGATTGGACCCATTCAAAATAACACCCACTGCGCAGTGAATATAGGAAGGCATGGATGCATCCTGCCATAGTGTCCAGCTCCGGGTTATCACTCCTGCCCTTGACCAGGGCCATCAGCGCAGCAATGTTGTCTACAAACCAGAGCCCCTGACAGGAGCGGGCCTGGCTGGCCACGAAGATGAAGCCAACATAGACTGTAAGAAGCTCCAGCTGGGCGATCTTAGTGGGGTGCTCGGACCACAGGGTGAAGAGCTCCGCCGTAATGTCAACGACATAGGCATCTCGTTCGCCTTGGGGTCCAACAAATAATAGGCCCGCTGAACCTTGCCGAGGCTCGTCTTGGGCCGCGTCGGATGCCGCCACCACGTAGCGTTGCTGGCTACCGGGCTGAAGTGGTAACTCTCGCTCAGGGCGCAAGGCGAGGAGGGACTTGATGGTCACAAAAGAACGTGAGAGGTCCTCAGTCAAAGTTGTGTCACGAGAATACTGACGTTCCTTCAGGGGGCTCAATCCTGATCTCCCAACTTCCCAAAACACCCCGTGTTGAGGAAGCCCAGGCAACCGAACAGCTTGGCTGCAAGACCTGGCGGGAGTCGGTTCGTTTGGGTTGCTTCGTCCATGAGGTCCGTGACCTTAGTGATCAGGCGATCTCTCGGCCAAAACCTGACAGGCTGCCCCTGGTGGCAGTTGCTGACATCATGTACCAGCCCCAGAAAGTCAGATTGACTTTGCGTGATCTGGTGCTTCTCCGGTTGGAATGGTGAGCCAAGTTCGGTAGCCAGCGAAGTAATGAACTGTTGGGCTGAACCCTTCAAGCTGCCCAGGTCCTGGACGGTAAGGTCGTCGAAATACATGCTGGCCAAACAAAAGCCCATACGGCGACTGATGGTCGTAGTAGGCGACGATGGCAAGGTCGGAGTGCTCCGGGACCATGGGAACATGCCGGTATGCATTGGGCAGGTCTTCACCCCCTGAGCAGATGCCTTCTGCAAGCAACGCGTCCGCATTGGGTAGAGTGCTGACGGCCCGCGAGAGAAGTTGCACATGCCAACCTGGTTGTATGCTGGCGCATAGGTCCAATTTATTGGAGTCGTGGCTAAGTTCACTTTGCCCCCCGTCAGCAGCGTCATCAATGACCCTCAGCTTTCCACTGGGCTGCTGAATGCAAAATCGTCGGATAAGGCGGAATTGACGTACTTGTCGGCAAAGTTGTGACCATGACATGGCGGGTCCACAGAACCCCAGTGCTTCGTCGTCTGACCCAGCCCGAACAATAGCCTCATCGTGTTCGCATGACTGCAGAGTGCGAATGAGGCGTTCTGCATCATGCCACGCTCCTTGCACCACCTCCGCCGAGGTGATATAGCCGGCTGGCTGGGCTTTGTAGACAGGCACGTGTGGGGCGAATCCCACGGCCGGAAAACCGAAGATCAGGCACTCCATGAAGGTAGGGTCAGGCCATCCGATGAACATCATCAATAAGCCAATCAGGGCAATGTGGCGACCCCTAGTAACTCGTGCAGGACCAGGTGGTTGAAATTGGCGTAGCCACTCAGTGATAGGCCATGTGCACCGGGCCAGCTCATGAATCCAGCGCGTCGTGTGCTGCCTGGTGGTTCGTAATGATGAACCCAACTGTCGATACTGGTCTGCAGCAAAGAGTAAGTCGTCATCAACAACACCCATCGATTCAAAAGGTGTAGGCTGGGATTTGAGGTCCATTGCAAGCTCAAAGTGCCGTTCATCACCCACGCCGAAGGGAATCAATGGCGGCATGGCTTTCACGGTGCGCCTTCGCGCTCTACGTGCCATAATGCCCCTGCTTTTGCTGAACAGATAAACACGACGGGGTACCTTGGGAGCTGGGGCAGGTTCCCCGCGCAGCTCGACCGGGCCCAACTAAACAGTGCATCGCCGCCGCGTCTTTTCAAAACGCCTTGGCGATCGATAGCCCTCAGCCCTTCCAATCTGGTGTACTCTTGGTCGAAGTCGGTGCGCTTGATCCAGGCAAGGAGGATGGCCATGAGGACTTGGATGCCCATCGTGGTTGCTAAGCCTCTGTCTCGATTGAACCTGTTTACATAAACGCCGGAACCATGGGTACAATTGAGGCAACCATGGGTTATCAGATTTATAAACATGGTTAAGATGTCCAACCACACTGTCCTGTTTACTAAAAAAGTTAGGTTTTTGATAAATGGTTGGCAAACCTGCTAACTATTTATTAGATGGAAAATACTTTTTTAATAGTGTTTAGCCCATTTCACTTGAAGTGGGCTAATCGCGTTGGCTTGTTTAGCGCACTTAGCTAAACGTGACTGTCTTGTTTACACAACAAAGATAAACGACTCTGGCCTACTCATAAGTAGGTTTACACCCGTGCCAAAATTGTGTTTTTTTTGGATTTTGCTGGCCGTGGAAAGTGTTTGTCGGCGCGCGCGATCGGTTTTTTCAATTTCCGGGCCGCGCTCGATCATAAACATATCAAGCTGGATCGGTTGCATGATTGCTTCATTCCATGGAAAGGGGAGCTGTACCTTTGTACAGTTAGGTTTCGAATTGCTAGCAGTATAGGGAAATGTTGGGACACACATATTCAATTTTTGAAGTCTCTGACAATATGTTTCTAGCGTGCACAATATACAAGGTCATGAAACCGTGCACTCCACACCGATCGCCGGCCCACTGGTTCGTGAACGTTGGCGACATCGAGATTGATGAGGCGCGCCTTCCAACTTGCTTGATTCTTTTCTGTCCTGACTTGCTTGAAGAATGTCTTAGGGAAGATGTCATTTTCTAAATCCTATATATATATATATATGCACATGTCCTCATTTGATTGCCACAGTTGCGAAACCGTTTGCTCGTGCAAGAAGTCCTGTAGTTTTGAAAGAAAACGTCCTGAAACGTGGATTGGGTTGCACTTGACAGGGCATCAAACAGTTTCATTTTGAACGGAAACGTTGAAGACAATGAACGCAGGGTGTTGGACAAACACTCGCAACCTTTGCATGAGTGCAGGGCATGCGTTTGCAGCTCGCCGACTTATAGTTTTGGGATCAAAGAGTTGCAAGGAACGCTCATTGTGTGAACCATGGTTGTGAGCACGGAGGCACTGAGTGAGATCCAGGCCAGTGTCACGCAGGCCCAAGATGGGCAACTTGTGCAAGCGATGCACAAGCTCATGAATGTGCTGGCCAAGCACGGTCTGGTCCGCACCACACAGTTGAGACCTGATGAAGTGGGGTGCCACCCCATGAACAGGGACGGATTTGGTTTGTCACCCCATGACGACCATGCACTTGTGGACGGTTTGTCGGAGGTTGGGTGGGACTCGAGAGAGACGAATCCAATTTGTGGGGAAATTTCAGATCCAGATCATGCCATGGTGCTAGGATTCAATGAAGCCTTGGTGACGAGTTCTCGGGGCCTCCTGCCGCCTGTCCAAGCAACCCAAATGCGGTATGCATCGTTGGCAAACTCACATACGAATGCT